ATTGACCGTCCCAACTTACTGCAGCACCGGGAAGCTGAGTACCCAGCACTGGTACCGGAGCACTAGCACTCACAGCACCACCCGTTGTGGATAGCGATGAAGTAGCGAGAACTTGGATCTGGCAACCAGGACTTTGCTGCAACGGCCCACTATTAAATGCGGGCCTACCGTCTACTCCATTCTGTACATTCGAGTTGCTGTTATTTCTCTGCCCATTCAATGTAACGCCGCCACTCTGAGGGGCGCTGTTCAAGCTCAAAGTCATCACATTCGTCCGGGACTGTCCAACATCCTCACAGCTGTTCAACTGACCAGCCCCCGATTTACTCGCACCTCCCCCACTACTCTGGGGTCGCTGAGACGAACCTTGCGTCCCAGTAGAGGGTGCTATCGTAGACGCAGCCCTTGCTTGAACTACACCTTGCGATAGCCGCATGCCATTCACATGTTCGTGTCCCCCATCTGCCATGTTTCAATCCCAAGCACTCCCGTTAGCCACTAAAACACCTCCTCAAACCACCACATCCCCTCTCTAACCACAATACACCAAATCCACCACTTCAATTCACCTCACTGAGCATGCGTTATTCCGATTGGCCCTCAAATTTGCACATCTACTCACCAGTCAGATTCTTGCCATCACCTGCTCTTCCAACTGCACCGGAGTTCGGGTTACCATGTGTATAACCAGAAGGTGTGCTATTGCGAGGGCTGCCCAATTGCTGTTGACCTAACGACACCACAACGCTACTTCCGTACTGCTCCAGAAATCCCGGAGCTCCACCAGGACCGCCACTACCACGCTGAACCCCTGAATTCATCGTAGAAATACCCCCACCTCCTGCTTGCTTCGCAGCCTGAACTAACCTCCCATTCGAAGGACCTCCACCTTTATCTGAATTCATGCTGCTCCGACCCCCGCCACCTGCACTGATGTTGCTCCCTGCGCCCAATGTAAGCCCGGAGCTCAATGCCAAGTTACCGTTCCCAGCGGGAACAGCGAACTGCTGCTGTGAGTGCAGCGATGCATGTTGGAGCTGCAGTATCTGTTGTTGGGAAGAGACCTGCTGCACCTGAGAACCTGAACTGGGCTGCTGTTGGGAGACTTGCAAATGCTGGGGTACACCTTGGGAACCCTGTACATGAGACACCGGTTGTGGCTGTTGCAAGTGTTGTTGCTGATGCTGCAAGCACACCAACTTCTAGTTCAGATACGCCACTCGCACAAAATAGCACGCTAAGTCTGACGCATACTACTTGGATGCAGAACCAAACTAAACCACTACCTAACTTTAGTAGACTGAATGCAGCACAAAGAAAGGTCGCAGTATTCAGATGCAGATGTAACTTCGATTGTCAACATCCAAAAAAACAGGACAAGTATATTCTCCCAAATGCACAGTCAAATGCATCACAACCCAGACAACTCGACTAAGCAAGCAATCAACAATATTTTGCAAAAAACGCACATGTTGCTGATGCTGAAACATTTGTTGCTGGAGCATCTGGTGCTGCTGTTGCCGCATCATCTGCTGCTGCTGCTGCTGCATCTGTGGCGGAGGTCCCTGTGTTTGAGCCGCGCCTTGGGATTGGCTTCCAACAAGCTGTTGCGGACCTTGACCTTGACCTTGCCCCTGCACTTGAATCTGTACTTGTGGTTGCTGGGAGCCTTTATTAGACACGTTCTGGGCAAAATGACTTGGACCCAATATTGATGGAACAGGACCAACCGACGAGGGGGACGAATCTCGCTTCCCAACACCAGCACCCACCTTCTGAGATACAGGGAACCCTGACTTCTGAGAGGGGCTGCTCTTCGCTAGGTTCAACCCTGAACTCTTTGACGGTGGACCAATCGAGCCTGGCGAAATCGCCCCCGATGACGCTGGAGAACCCATCATCGCTGTTCTCATCCTCGGACTCGACCCTGCATTCACATTTGTATTCGCATTTCCAGCCGTAGCAACTGGCAACGCCCGCTGTGCCGGCTGACCCTGCGTATTCTTCGCCATTGCAGCAGCCAACACTGCTTGAAAGTTCGCCCCTGAAGCTGTTGGAGCCGGTGTCGCACCTGACAGAGCTGTAGGTCTTGAACTCTGGCCTGTTTTCATCTGTGAATGCTGCCCAGCCTGAGCTGGTCTCCCACCTTGGCTTGTCGGTATGCTTTGACCCCCTAGATTCGAAGCTTGCGAAGGAACCGCTTTCTCTCCAACAGACTCTCCTATCACAGCAAGACGGTCTGTAAAAGAGACCTGCGTTGGCGAGTGCAAGGCAGCTGAGACTGCCGGATTTGACCCTGCAGTACCCTTAGACCTTGCACCACTATTCTTCGACGCTCCCATAGCGGCTTGATGTTGCATGGTAGCTGCCACACCCGACGGACCTGACTGCTGGCTCGGTCTGGAAGCCATGCCAGCATTTGTGGGAGCCATAAGGTTCAAGGTCGTCCCACCTTGATTGCGAGAGGAAGCCAAACCTCCGCTTCCAATTGCAGACGACTGCGTCCCACCACCGCCTTCTGAATCTCGGGACATAGTAGGCCCTGCTCCAGAGGCCCTCTTGCCGTGCAACTTCCTATCATCGGCGACCTCCCGTTCTCGACATCGACCCCCACTGCTCGAGAAGCTTCCATCACTCCCACCAAAGCTATCCTCACCCATTCCAGATGCACCTCTCCCATTCTGCGCACCACGCTGCTGCTGCTGCGCTTGTGCCACTTGAACGGACTGCTGCTGCTGAGTTCAACAAAATCCATGTCAACCTAAGCAATACTACTATAATGACCACACACTGCTGCGATGCCCAACTACCAACTAACTAACAGAAACATCTCGTGAAGAAGCACCTTCTCAATCGCAAACCAAGGCAATAGACTAAAATGAGGTACACAATAAAAGTGAAAAAAGTTAAGTATACAACTGTTTTCAATACAAACAAGTACCAAACATCAACAATCTCTCGAGTCACACCTGCAGTTGCTGTGACTGCTGCACATGTTGCATTTGCAAAAGATGCTGCTGCTGCTGTTGCTGCAGCATGCTTCCACTCATTTGCTGATGTCCACTCCCACTCTCCCCCACGTTCTGTATCATCGCGTGCCCTTGTGGTGCCATCACTGCAGCCACCGAAGCCAAACCCAGAGGTCCCGGACCCACTGACGCCCCTCTGTTCATTGCCGCCGCCATACTCATTCCAAAACCCCCACTCATGCCACCTTCCATTCCGTTTCCACCTACTACTCCACCTCCCTGCCCCACTGCTCCACCATGATGCTGAAGCCCGTGCTGCTGCAGCGCAGGGCTACCACCCTGAGAACCACTCCCCTGCTGACCTAGTATTGCACCTCCCTGCTGTACCTGCTTCTCACGAGACTTTGACGCTTTCCCCAACCCCACCATTAGGTTATAGTCCATTGCACCGTGCCCAGCCATCCCTCCTACTTCCGTTCCCAAATTCGGACTTGCCGATGCTACTGACACGCTTGGAACTGTCTGTCCGTACAACGCCGACCCACGGGGCATCGATAACCGGCTTTCACCTGACAATCCACTCTCGCCAACCGTCAAACCTTCCCTCTCTCCAACCCTTGAAGCCCCGTGCATTCCACCTTGCAGCTGCGAATGCGATGGGGACTGAATTGGAGGACCGTGCGCACCAGATCCTGCACTTGGAAAGCCTCGACCCCCTTGACCCTGCTGCTGCTGCTGCTTGCCAATGAGATTTGAGGCGCCAGCGCCACTTCCACTTCCAATCGGTTGTCCTGCTTGCTGCTGAGAGTGCAAAATCATGTGATGGGTGAAGAACGGAGCACCCGCCGCGAAAAACTGCGCAGCTGCCTGCAAACATCACCAGGTCCATCATCAAAGACATCCCGAATCCCCGCCCTATCGACTGTATTCCAACCTCATCCCAAAAACCACCAACCGTGCTAACCCAACCAGCAACTCGTCCTACCTGTTGAGCACCCATGTGTGATGCGGACCCATTAAATGTCCCATGCCCAAAATGAGGCGGAAACTGTCCAAACGGAAATCCCTGAGGCTGTTGCATTATAGCCTGCATGTACTGAGCTTGCACAGCTGCCGACGGCAAACCACCGTTGCTACCCGCAGATGCCAACCCCCCGACCGAACCAGGCCCAAGTATCACAGGAGACCTGCTCCCAGGCACTAAGCTCGCCCCACCTAACACTCCTCCGGCAGCTCCGTTCAAATTCGCAGCTCCCGCTAGTCCTGCTGTTGCTGGAGCTCCCTCACCACTCGCGCCAGACGGGCTTGCGCTCTGTGTCACAGGAAATGCAAACGTCGAACCAGTCTGCATGCCCAGGTCAGCAGTTCACTGTAAGGTTCAAATCTTCTTACGCCCAGAATACCATGTTATAAATTACCAGAACAAAATGGCAGCTCATCTCTCACGCATATTAGATCCACTCTAGCATGTCGAAACATGCGTGCCACAAACTTCTTCATATAGACACATTCATAAACGACGCCCCGAATATCCAGTCATCCGAACCTGCAAAGACACTGCACGTGCTTGTTGCCCACTGTGTTGCTGCTGCTCCGGAGATTTACGACTCAGGAAGTCCATGTTGTATGCTCGTTCCTTAACTCCCTGCATGCTCGCGGCTGCGGCTGCAGCAATTGCCGCAGCATTCAGTCCACGCTCCGTCGCCTCTAGATTCGCACTGGCTCCAGTGGAGCCACTCACGAGGGCTCCACCAACAGCGCCCGCCATGATATTACCTGCTGCGCCACCAAATACACCATCCGAAGGAGCAAAAGGCACGTTCAAGTTGTACGACTTTGGGTACCCCTGGTTAGAAGCTGCGATGAAAGTTTGGTGCCGATTCAATTGCTGCTGCATGTCAATGAAGTGTGCAATGTATACGTGTAGAGCACATCGCTTCCATGATGCCCGCTGAGGCATGATGTACGGCAACTACACACAAGAAAACTCAGTCAATCAATGCACATCAGATCAAAAGCCACACAAAGTAATTTCAATGTAGATCCACACGCCCCTGGGGGATTCAAAAGCGGTTTCTGATCAACTCGCAAGACATCTTAGAAACCGCTAGACACCAGGAATTCAACAGAGGTAATGGATATCATAGATCTCTGCTGCTCCTCCATGTCATACCTGCACGGTAGGAGTGCCGTCATCGGCAGCTGGCGCCGCTGCAGTGGGAAAGTACCTGTACCATGAGCAAACTCTTCAGAACGTAACACCGAACACTCCACAAACAACTTGTCTAAAATCAACGCGATCACATTGCATGCTACTTAAGTTCAACTCGCACAAATCAAACTTACCCAGGCATTCCTGAGGGCCAGTGCAGCATTCCCATGGACTTCGGCAGAGGCGCCATGTTCCCGCTCACAACTGCTGAAATTGAGGCATCGGGTGGTGCAGACCCCGGAAAGGCTGCGGCAGACGATCCAATGCCCAATCACATCCAAAATGAATACCACTCAAAATATTATCGAGGATCTCAACTCAAAAAACAAGGACTAGCAAACCCATGAAGTACATCATTCTAAGCTATCCACTTATTCCCATTTTTGTATTTACAGCCATCGTCAAAACGACGGTCGCTGTGACTAAAATCTAACAATGCCATAACACTCTCAACACTAACATAACCCAGGAACATGAGAGTCACCAACAAGCACCACACACCTGCTCGTTCAGCCTTCTGAACCCTTCCGTTTTCACCCTTCGTGCTCTTGCTCGACCTTTGCACAATCATCTTGCTTGCTTCCGCCCTCTCCCTTTCCTTCTCCTTATCTCGCTCTTTCGCCATCTCCTCGGCCAACTCTCTCTGACTGCCGACTTCCCGGTGCCGCTCCCTTTCACAACGTTCGCGTTCCAAATCCTGTATCATTTCCTTTTCTCTCTCCTCCTTTGAGTTGGAAGTTGTCTTCTCCATCTCAACACGATGTACCTCTTCACTCTCTCGTTGCCCATCCCCCACACTCGCTACAACCACCATATCAACCTGCCAAAACACCAAACTACCACGTCTCATCAATAGTGAAAATCAACGTAAACCAACTTCCAACATCTACAACCCAACAACCATGCTTCAACTCAAAGGTCATCAGATTCCTGCATTCCGACGTACCGCAGGTGACTCTACCGTATCCCGAACACCTAAATCTCCATCCCCGATTTCGCCGTCCTTCTCCCTACCCAACGCACCTTCCAGTTTGCTTGGAGCCACCTGAAACTCCATATAACGCCTTCCCCTCAGAAACTACACCCACCCCGACCGCTTTAACAATCTGGAGCATGACTCATCGAACATCAAACAATTAAAACCAGCTTACCATCAGGTCAATTTCTCGCTTCTGTACGCAATCAGCATCGGTATTAACTACTGCCGGCGGAGAACACCTGAAATACAACACCAGACAGGGTCAGCTCAGCACACTTTAAAAATCAACAAATAGGTTGTTGTATCGCAATCCAGTTCAGGACTCTCAATATGTACCTCTTGTTAGACTCCATCTTCACCGACACTGCCTCCACAGCGACGTTCTTGATCGGCGTCGAAGCCGCCACTGTTTCCACGCATGCTCCAGAGACTTCAGACTCGGTCTTCACATCCTTCTTCTTCCGAACTGGAGAACCTACTCCTCCTCTCTTCTCCAGAGGATTCGGGTCTACCACATCCACTTCACCACAACTAGGAGCCGCTGTCTTCTCCAATTGCACAACCTTCTTCTCCACACCATTCTTGTCCGCTCGAGGAACTGAACCACCCACTGCACCACCTTGGGCTGCCGCCTCCGTGGAGACGGTGGCAGTCGTGCCGCAAGACGCGACTGCCATATTGCGTGTGCTGATCCCCGTAATTCCCACGTTAGTAGCGCTTGCGCACACGGCCGGTGTCACTGTAGCACTACTCTCCACTTTCAAGGCACTTCTCTCTACAGTTGGTGCCCGGCTCATAATTTGATCCACATCCTTCACTTGAGCAGCACCGGCTTCGACAGAATTTGACAGAACACTAATAGCATTTGAGCCTGCCCTTGACTGAGTGGCGCCACTTTCTTCTGTCCGAGTTCTCACACGAGGACGCTTTCTTTTCGCAAGAACTGCACAAAAACGACATCACTAGCGTAAGCACGTAGTATCTCATACATTCTCGGATGGGCCGTCACGTTTAGCACTCAGCAGGATTAAATTTAGAGCCGAGTCCCAGGTAATGATCACCCTGATCACCACAAACACTTTTTAAAACCATCCCCACTCGCCAAAATGGAAATCTGCGCGTAATTGTATGTGTATACATATACTGCGTCTAAGTGGTTATGGCCGACATCCGCAAAAGAAACCCAAGTGTGTCGTACCCTCTGTAACTGGAGCCGCGGCTGAAGGGGGAGAAGGGATGGGTGAAGCTGCTGAAGCTGCACCTGACGAAGAACTCATCACGATCCCACCAACATTTGCACCAGATGTAGGAGCAGCGGTCAAAGCGGACTGAACAACCACACCTCCGTTCGTGACTTGCGCTGCCACACTGCATCCAGAAGCTACCGATACTTTTGCCTCCTGTTTATTATCAGATTTCGTCACATCTACAACCACTTTCGGTTCGGCCTTGGGTTCCGCAACTGGTGGAGGAGGTTGTGTGAACATTCTTGCCAGGTCGAACAGAGCTTCGGCGACTTCCACCTCTTGCTCGGACACCAGAGATGGTGCTGAAACCTGAAAATATCGACAAGGAACACACGTTTCAGGTAAGGATGTAACTAGTGCCTACAGACCAAGATGTAAATCTGCCCTAATCACAGCATTAAAAGTTCTTGGTCATTGAATTGCGCAGCTACAGCTACGTTTGCACCCAAGCATCCACGGCATCGGTGGACACCAACCATGAAAATATGCCCATCAACTCTCCGCATATAGTCAGCGATGATGAGGATCTTAACAGGACTTTGCAACCCGAGAACTCTCTGGCTGTGATCACTCTACACCGGCTCGCTTTCAGTAAACTACCTGTGCGATATCTTCAGTTACCCAAAAGCCAAGCATGTTGAGCAACCAAACCATCATCATTGCTCTAGTGGCCAGAGACCCCTCAGAAAACTGAAAGATAAAACTACAAAGCCCCACCTTCAAATACTGCACATTGCAATCGCACTCCAAATTGCTCTCACCTTTCTCACTTCACAAATTACAAGCACTCACTCAAGATCACTTTTTGTTACCTTGGGCAACTTGTGATTCCGCTGTTTGGATCCACCCGGCTTCTGCAACACCCACCAATGTCACACATCAATTCTTCCATCGAACCATTCCATTCCTTTCTGAGTATCCGCTAATATACCACATAACACCCTCAACCCTTAACCGTCAATCATACCGTCCGTTTCCCCGGCTTCAATGACGACAACGGTGTGCTCGACGGGGCTTGCAGGTGTGACGCCACACCTGCTTGATGACCAGGTGACTCCTCCACTAGTGGCGTTAATGCCTCGTGCAAGCGCTTGCCCATCGCTGCGGTACCACCACCCTACCACATCAGAAATGCTCCTCTCTCTCTGTGTGTGTGTCTGTCTGTCTGTCTCTCTCGCTCTCTTTCTCTCGCCGCATCCCCTTGTTCCGTACATTCATCCCATTTATTGCACCTCACTAATGTCCAAATCAAGTCAATCCCCTCAGCTTATTCGGCTCTCAACCTCCACACCAGTACACGACTCACCTGTGCGTGCTTTCCTTGGCACGGTCGGAAGATCCACCGAATTTCCATCCTCGGCAAACTGCCACGCAACACATCCGACACACAATCAGCCCACAACTACCCAACCCGCTCCACTCTTTTCCCACAATCTCCACTCCCAATGCCTCGCACACAAACACGGACCTTACTCTGCCAGATATACTGACGCAACTTCTCACCACGGAGCTTCTCATTCCAAACGTTCAACAGTAGACTTTGATGTTCAGCTCTTACCTTCGACTGAGGCCGCGGTTTTCCTGACCGCCGGGGAATTATAGGAGGCGGATGGTCGTCATCGTCTTCTGACACTCTCATTTCTGTATCTTCCGTCGTCTCCTCCACCTCGTCGGCCGGACTGCTACGAACCTGTATCTGTTTCTCTTGAGACTCATGTCGCTTCCTTTTGTTTCTACTACTAGGTCCTACAATGCTAGTGGCCACTGCATGACTCAAAGCCACCCCACTACTATCTTTCTTCACTCTTTCTCGTGACCGAGGATTGTGCCCATCATCCATCACATCATCGCCATCATCGCCAACTGCGCAGATCCAAAATGAGAAAAATCCAAATCTATCAGCACTCGCTTCACCATCTCTGCACTGCCCACTCTCACCAATCTCTAAAATTTCAACAGTAAACACTATGCAACACAGTATCCTGCACCCTTGACTAACCAGATCCCTGGATTCGAATGAGAACCACTATGTAGGACCTCAAAATTGTCCCGAAACGACTAGTTAAACCTCATCGTTGCTGGATTGGCATCACGGCACTTCTAAGCAATCTAGATCGAAACTTTCCATCTGGTACTATATTTCAGAAGGCATTCGGCTAAGAGCAGAACTAAGAGATCGGAGCAGTACTGAAGAGCTATACAACCGAGATGTAAACATAGACTGCAACCATCGTAGTCGCAAACCACAAGGAAATCGGAGCGGAGGTGCCAGTGGAGAAAAAGAATTAAAAGGGACACAAAAGACAAACGCGCCCAAGCCTAAGGATTATCCCATCCATTACAGCATCGCTTACGTGGCCGTCAAACTCAAAATCGCCAGTCAACCAATGCGGCTCCAACGCCTCAATGGTGTGGCCAGTTCGAGAGCTTGGCCACAAATTACAAGACAATCAGAGGGCAGGAAATGCAGCTAGAGAGAAAGGAGACACAGACGACAGCAGATTCTTCGCAATGGTTCTGTCTTCAGAGTTTCCAAAGTAGCCAGGACAGTATACTCAGCGACGGCCCATCCCACGGAGTGCTGCATCACGATCTCTCTGATCCCAGATTCTAAGACAATACACACTCGCTATTCACACCAAGGCTGACTACCACTCTCTCGAAAGAAACGCTTAACACGGCGTCTGGTTACTCTCATTTCCACCCTAACACTAAACCTGTCCCTTGGACAATACCTGCATTCTATACACTAGGCCAACATTCTGCGAGCTTCTGTCCGAAACAGCGTCATTGTCCGTCAAGGTTGGCTCCGCGCCACAAATGCAATACCCGACTCTCAATTCCTACTCTGATTCGCTCTCGACCACAGTTGTCGCGAGGAAAACAGAAAATTCAAGCTGCTCACGTTGCTGCAAACAGCCATTCAACGCCCAAGACTGAACATTACACCTCTCACTCTTCACTTTTCATTAGAACCCCTTGGTTCCTTCTAAGTATGCTCTCGGTGATCATTCGCGGGAAGCTACTACACACGACTTCTTCCAAACAAAAGAATCCCGCCGAATTAGACAAGTTTCCCCCAAACCAAGGCATAAAAATGCCAAAGAGCTGATAATCCCCGCGCACTGCTAAGGGTCATCTCTCCACCTGGAATATAAATTGGGACTAAACAGATAGCTCTATCGCTTTCACAAGCCCCAGTAGTGCTCGGACACCTCTTGTGCTTCTTCTAACCCAAACGGAGAAGAGACTTCAAGACGGACCTGATTATCCAAGCAGCTATGGCCAAGGAAGAATTTGGGATCTACAAGAAAAAGCCACCAATATTGCATCTAACAAGAGAGGACACTCGCACATTCACAAAAGCAGAGAAAGAGGAAGAAGACTGCAGAACAAAATCTGGATTTGTGCGCGCACGCATGTGTGCGTGAGAGAGAGGGGAGAGAGAGAATGGGGGCAGGGGAAGATCCTACTAGACCAGACCTGCAGCATCTTTGAAACCTGTGCGCGGTCGTCTGGGAGCGTGGGCATGGATGGCTCCACGCCGACCCTCACGGCCGCGCTCCATGAGGACTACGCAGGACCAAGCCGCCTGCTATCTTCTCTGCTCCTGCTCCCGCTTACCACTTCAGCTTCGAAACAGCGAAAGGAGATTGAACCACGACTGGCAGCCAGCACAACAAGAATACGATAACACAGGTATGTCCGTTTACACCCGAAGCGAGATGAATGAATGAGCAAACCAGCGCTGTGAAACTGCAGCTCGTCAACAGAGGTATCAGGACCAGTATCGCCGCAATTCTGAGGGACGAGCCGCGGAAGGGAACGAAGCGGGTGAGAAATCACAGAAAAGAGGCAGCCGCATCAAAGACAGACTACGAGAGGAGCAAGGCGGGAGGCGCACCAAGAGGATCATCAACTACCCTCATCCCGTACCCTAAAGCTTTGAGGAAGTACTGCTCCAAACCCCAGAGGTGGCGGCTGACAACCACAAAACGAGTCCGGTACTCAAAGGCGAAGCCGAAATGAAGAGGCGAAGCACACAGACCAATAGAACCAACCATGACACTCCAAATCGCCTTGATTCCGCTCAACCCCGAAGCTCAAGACACAACCACGCACACACGGAAGCAATCCACGCACGTCCCGCAACGACGACGCCGAGCTGCAACGCATTCCAAAGGCCGCGACACGAGAACAGAGCATCGCAGTTTTCACATCGTCTCGAAGAGCGCAACTACGACATCTCTAGCAAACAGCAGCACACTTCTAAGAAGAAATTGCTCTCATCACTCACGAGCCCTACTCTGCCCTCTCAACCCCTAACCCGCTGCTGCCTCCCCGAATGAACAATCCTCCCAAGCAGTTCGATTTTTCTCAAATCGAAGATAACTCGGCCCTAGCCACACCCTCAACCCCTGTCTCCTCACAGTTTCTTGCACTACTCCCGCGAAACCCTGGACTCACTCAGAGCTCCATCCCAGCAACCACCCCTCGCAAAGAAGCACAAAAGTCGAATCAGACCACCTGCAAAGGCAACAAGCGCGGAAGAAAGAAAGAAGCGGGAGAGAAAAGATAAACAGATAAGCAGACAGACAGAATAACAGCAGCAGCAACGCCACCACCGCCGCCGCCAAAGCGCTTCTTCAAGCGCAAGGGTCCATCCCCATTGTTTGGTTGCGTGCTGTGCGAGACGGAGGCTCAGCAGCAACAGCAGCACAGCACCACTCCACACAATGCAGCAGCCCCTCTTCCACTATCTCGCCCGCGCCTTCTCTCTCTCCCTCCTCCCCTCCTACACACCCCCATGGCCCATGGATACACCACGCATGCCCACACATGGGCCCATGCATGTCATGCATTCACCCTCCTCTCATATTGAGTGAGCGCCAATTAGGTCACTGTTGCTCTCCCATTATCCCCCTCGTTTAGTTGGCGAGAGCCAGGCTTCTCACTCTCTCCTCTCTCTACTCTCCTCTCCTCTTTGAAAAAGCACACCACTCAAAAGGCCTCCTAAAATATCTTTCCTCCCCAGGCATTGGCTGGAGCCCCCTCCAAGATGGCGGGTCTGCCGCTATAACCTCCCCTTTTCTATAATAAGCAATATCTGTTCCGTCCCTGCTGGAATTACTGGGCTTTGGGTGATAGCAGCTGCAACAGAGATATCTTGAAACTCTCACCCGGGATCTCATCCCCACTTAGACATCTGGCCCCCTATTCTGCTGCCCCCTCTGTCCGCTAGTAACTGTGTGAGGAGTGAGTGTCCCAACTTCCATGCTTGCTTAGCTTAATGTCCCTTCCCTTCTTCTTCCTTGCTTTATCATTCATTCTCTTCAGTAATAAAACAAATAAATAAAAAAGGGATTTGGAACGAGCTCCTGTCATCATTACGTACTGTGCACGGAATGGTGTATCTCACTGTGCAGGTGGGTTGCGGTAGAATTACTCGCCACTTACCTTCGTTCGAGTTGAACTTTACCTACCGGGCCAGATTCCTCAGGCACGGTGCTCTCACTTTACTACCCCCCCCCCCAAAACTCTACTTACCACAGCACCCAGTAAGTTCCTTACTTACTTACCCACGGGAGTAATTCAAAAACTAATTTAGTGCCTGGTAGAATCAGACCTATACTTACTGCCCTGTATTGTGTGGCGCCAGAGGTACCCTCCCCCCCCCCCTCCTGTTTTCACCTTCCAACCTCGCCATGGTACCATGGTACGCACAGAACACCCGATGTCCGTGTACATGGACGAACGTGGATGAATGTATTTTCATCAAGTGACGCTTCCGAGGGGTCAAGCTTCCGACCTCATCTTTTTGGTATTCGAAGAGCATGCAAAACAATCAAATATCATTATAAATTCCCACCATTATTATTCCCTTTCGCTCTATCTTTCAAATATTAGTTCTGTTGATTACTCTAAGAGGATAGGAAAGAAACAAAATGGATCCTTTGGGGTCCTATCTTTGGAATAAGTTGACTCCCAATTGTGGCGACGTTGGCCTTCTAGCCCCGCCTGAATCAGTCCAACCCGTGTGGATGAACAAGGGAGCAGAGAGAGCACGTTCATCGTCCACAATTCATCAGTGCGGACGAATGGAGAAAATCGTCGGCTTGGTAAAAGGTCGGATGGGGTACCGCGGTTGTAGGCTACCAAATGTTGCCTTCTGTTCATGTAATTGGCACCCGACGCTGATGGAACAGTTCGGGAGGGATGGTGGTCCCACCACCGTGGAATAATAAATCGGGTTTGTGGGCTCACCAGGGATTCGGAACCCGCGCCCGCTCACCCGGGACATGGAGAATATGTCCGACTACTGTAACAAATTTATCATTCCCAAGTAGTTAGATGTCAATGAATTTGTGTTTTGATGTATATATAGATGTGTGTGTGTGGGGCTATATGTTTGGTCCCCTGATAGTGTTGGACAAGGCAGAGAGGACTTGTTTTTCTACCATTCATAGAACTGGCTCTTGTCTGTTTCTTAAAATTGTATCTCCTCTGTTGAAGTTCATAAACTCTTCTTCCTTGAAACCCATAAAAAAATACATCACAAGAAATGAGGTGTTCTATTTGATGGGTTCTTTTCATGCTCCAAAACCCAACTGTTAACAAGGAAAGAAAGATTTGTATAGAGGATATGTTAATTGTGGCTGCCTCAACTTGGATAGACTGCCTCAAATGATAGGTGTGCACCAGAACCAGTTGCTTTCTTCACCATTTTTTTGTATATATGTTGTTTTGATATAGTCATGGTCCCAAATCGTCAAGATTTTTTTTTTTTTTTTTTTTTTTTTTTTTCTTGGGGATATGCAGCATCCGTTTTTATTCTGTGTGTTTTCTTTGTTTTCAGAATGGGCTACTAGCTTTAACGAACTCAGATTTAAAATACCATTACAAAAATGGAAAAGAAAAAAAAAAAGAAAAAATCAAAAACGTAATAATAAAAGTGTGTTGTTATTAAGGAGGAGAGTACTCTTTAGAAGTCAAAACGATTGAATTACATATGATCGTGAATACATATTTCAATATTATGCAAAGTACTGCAGCGTTTATGAAAGATACCTTGTAGAGTTTATAAAAACAGTGTTTTTTAAGTGGGAATACTTGTGAATAATCAAGAAAAATAGAATTCCACATTGGAATTTGTTGTGCATATTATATTAACATTTTCAATAAAAATAATAAAAAAAAAATCCAGCAAAGACAAATTCATCCTTGAGACTCCATTATATATACAGCTGGTCTTAATAACTAAAAATAAATAAAAACTTGTCATAATTATTTTGAAACAATTTTTTTATTTCTTTATATATAGAGTATTCCTTTTGACCTGATTTATAAAAATAAAAAAACATACACCACAAGTTTCCAATTCCCTGAATTTTATCCTGAATTATATTATAACAAGAATTGAAAATCATATATATATATATATATATATGATTACTTTACAAAAACTTTTTCTTTGCTCTAAAATAGATAATTTTAAAATTGTATTTTTCTGATACCAAAAATTCAATATTGAGTGCACAGTATTCATATTTCATTTGTGCATATGAATTATCAACATTTGTTCCATAACAATGTATATTAGCCCAGTCTTCATAATGATAAACACACAAATAAAACATTTAGGACTTCACAATCTATTTTCTTGTGTGTATTTATGAGTGTGTATGTACATATACTTAAGAAAATAATGATTAATATATTTTATGACAAAATAAATGTTTTTAATATATACAAAATAAATGTTTTTAACATAAAATTGTTTAATTTATTATTTGTTTCGTAAATTGAGTAAGATTGTTTGCTTAAAATTTATACTTTCTGTATTTTTCTCAAAAATCATAAATTAGCGCCATTTGATTTGACTTCTCAAGTTTTTAATACAAACACAATGAGAATTCATAAAACTTTGGAATATGTCAAAATACAATAATTATAACTAATTTTTAAATTTAGCAATCCAACTATGTAGCTATCAAAAAACAACATAATTAAATAATCCAACTATGTATCAATTATTTACGTTTAATATTGTAAAACTCTTATATGTATGTATGTGCTTATATATGTATTTCAAAACAAAGAATATAAAATTTATTGCCATGTTATAATTAATCTGATTTTTTTTTTTATTATTTGTTTCAAACAATAATCAATCCATCAACTTCTAATATTTAATTTTGATTTTCTACATATGAATTACTGTTAATAAACTTATTAACGACATTTATAAAGTTTGACATTGACTCATGTGTTTCTTATTTCTAAGATTCTTATATTTGTATTAAATTACTTTGGTACGTTCAATCTCATGAGTCTTAAAACATTCTTTAAATAAGTAATATATATTTTGCATACTTCATTATCCTTTGAAACATATGAATGATGTATATATAGAAATAAACTAATGTGTTTGCATCAGCAATATTGTGTTTTACTATATACATGTATATGTATATATTTTGCTCATGTAATTCATGATATTTAATTTTTTTTCAAAAATATATTAGAAAAATATATTTTTCTTGAAATTGTTGTTTGTAAAGTTTGTGGTCTTTGCATTGCTAAAGAAATTTTTAAAATTATACATTTAATTCATTACATTGTATTATGGCTACAAACAAAAATAAATAAATAAAAACAAACAAAATGAAAGTACCACAAAACAAAACAATACAACATATCTAAAAAGATCATATGAATGACTATTGATCACTATTTTCACATATGTAACTTTGTTTTACTTTAATAAATTTGGATGTGTGTTTCACATGTGTTATGTAAGTCATGCCACACATTATAATTTTTCCAATTGTCTTATTTAAGGATTTTTATAAGTTTGTAATATCTTATTTTGCAATATGATTTTGCAAAAAATAAAATAAAACAATGTTTTCAAATCACATGGCTCTAAAGGTTTTTGTTTGTTAATTGGATCGTACTATTAGTATTCTCATCCAAAACGCAATCATCCACAGTTTTAATTTAAAAAAAAAAAAAAAAAAAAAAAAACCATGTTACCAAAATCTTTTTATGTTTCATCCTGCATTATAAGACCAACCTCAAATCTATTGTTGATGGAATTTACTCTTTCTGTGCACAGAAAGCTGAAATCTAATCCAAACTATTGGAATTAAGGGTCAAGGTCAAAGTTTCAACGTTTCATTTCAACAAAGGAAAAAAAAAAAAAAAAACAAAAACAAAAAAACAAGCAAACGAAATAAATATTCATGCACCAAAGGATTGATTCAATACAGCCTGTGTATATGTATATATATATATATATATATATATATATTTGCATATTTAATTTAGAAACCATTGACGCTACTCCAATGTTCATGTTATGTTAACATTATGTTTTATTATTATTATTATTTTATTTCTGTGACTTCATGCTCAAGTTTCCTTTTCTGTTGAGTTTGGATTTGTTTGACCTTGACTCTGAGTGCAATATAGTAGTAGTAGAATTTATAGCCAATACAAAGAGTTCATATTTTTCAGACCCTAAGCTTCATTAACCAGTTAGAGCCTGTTCACACTACTTACATCAGACTTTGGACTAAACGGATCCACACAATTAGGAAATGACAATTTGCTACACATAGAACAGGAAATTTGAGAGTTGCTATGTAAAATCTAATATATTTTTTTGGGGAGCTTCCACTAAATAATATAAAAAAATATGGGAGATTATCATCGATTGATTAAGATTTAAGCTAATTGCATATACAATAACATTTATTGTGACCACCATTTGTGCATAAATACAAAGG